GACAACATAAATAATAAAAGAATTATTACTTACGGATTTGTGAGTGCCGGACAATTTCGCTTATCATGTAATTGGCCTACTTTATCATACCCGTGACAACGTCCATCTTTTTATTTTTGGCTCTAGCCATTGCTTTCTCTTTTCTTTCTTTTAACCTTTTTACCGTACCCTATTGCTCGCACTTGATCGTGTTCATTGAAACTATTTTGAAAAGTATAAGAACCATGCACACTAATACCATCATCTATTACATTACTACCTATTTGATTACTTTTCTTGGTGAAGCTTTTTACAACCATGCGGCTACTAAGAAATTGATCAATTTGCTCATTAATGATACACACTCCATCGGTAAACATCTTCCTCGTTTCTTCACATATGAGGGATTTGTCAACTAATTCCAAAATGATTGGATAAATTGACTCCGCGTTAAAAGATAAGAATTGTCAGGGGTTATCTGCATGCCTTTATTGATACGAGTCGCCGTACGAGCACCATTTGGTTGCGAAATTACCAAAAGGTGGGTTGAGAAGAAGACAACTAAAACACAAGAACAATTCAGTATGACGAAGGAAAATACCTTCTCTAGATTATGAAGAATCAATTATTACAAATCTTTTCCTCACAATCTCATTAGAATCGAGAACAACATCTCAATGCTCTCTAAATCCTAATACAATGATTAGAATCTCTCTTAATTACCTCTGATTTAAGATGATCATCTAAATCCTAATCCTTTTGATTAGGATCTCTCTTAGACCTAAAACTCTTTAGGACTACATCTGATCTCTAACCTCCTCTTTAGAAACCCTAAACAATCACTATTTATAGGGTTTACAACGTGATGACAATCTGATAAGTAATCAAAACCAAACTCTGCTAGGATTTCCCCAAACAAAAACCAAATTGGCCTGGGAAACCCTCGATCAGTCGACTCATGCTCACTAGTCGACTCATGGTCAACTCAAAACGTGCACAAACTGTGCTGGCCTGCATGAGTCGACTCATGATTTCATGAGTCGACTCAGCATAAGCATTTTGCTATTTGGAGGCGATTTCTTGAGTCGACTCATCAACCCGACAGTCGACTCATCAACCGTCAGTCGACTCATCAACCGTCAGTCGACTCATCAACCCGTCAGTCGACTCATCAGGCTGAGAACTGAAATCTTTGATTCTTCGTTCTTTCGACTCGCTTCACGCTCCATCCTATGCTCCGCCGTGTCGTTTCACACCACTATTCTCAAGGTATCATGAGAATCACCTATTCTCAAGCTCCCATGAGGATCGCTAAGCTCCCGAATCATAGAAGAAGATACACACATATCATTTATCATCATCCACTCTCCCCGATTTTGCAGACTTAGTCCACCTCTTTAAGGTGTATTTATCGGGCAATGTTTCAGCATTAATTTTCATCAAATATGAGATAATGTGCGTACATGGGATTCTGGCGCTTTCGAACTTTTTACAACTACAAGAAATCAAATCCAAGTCCTTATCGTAAACGATTTCGCGGGCTTTACTTGTTGCGAGTTTCTTTCTTTGAATTTGATACACAGATTGTTGGTTGCCCTAACAAACTGCAACTTGTAGTTAAAGCTGTCACACACTTCAGCCTCAAACTTGTAATACATCTCATTCGTATAAATATCAACCATTTGCTCTAAAAAGTCATGATTTATTCTAAGTTTAGGTTTCTTAATTATATCTTTGTGATCGACCATCAACTCCTCATGACGTTAGCGCACTAGTCCCCTGCCAAACTGTATCATAAAATTTACCAATGAATTATTTTTCAAAACAAATTTCTTAAAAAATGCATGTCCATTTTCTGCTCGTTGACTACTTGACATGTCAGTTGAGAAAACGTGATTAACATATGCAGGAATCCATCTTGACCGAAGTTCATATTGGTCTTGCAACAACTTGTTTCCTTCTAACACACATTTGTTAATCAGACTTTCCTATTGTAAATCAAATTCTTTAGGAGTCTCCGATTTCCAAATGCAAGCCGAGAACTCACTCTTATAAATACTATACTTCACTGCATCAATTTTCTCAGAAAATTTTATTAATATATGCCAACTACAATACCTGTCAATAGAATTAGATAAAGTGTTAAAAGAAAGGCTATGTATATAAATATTTTTAATAATATATACAAACTATAATACCTGTGAAAAGTATTTGGAAGAACAAGAGGGAATGTCTTAGTCATAGCTGGGTCTTAATCGGTAATAATCATTTTCAGTGCACCACCAGACGTATTTTCCAAAAATTGATTAAATAACCATACAAAATCATCAATGCGTTCACGATTTAAAAACCCACAAGCAAAAACAATGGTTTGATCATGATTGTTAACCTTCATTATTGGTGCAAATATCAGGCCATAACG